TACATTGCAATCCATACCAAAGTCTTTGATCTTCATCAGTAAGTATTTTAAGTCCTCTTCACTTTCAGCAAGCAAGGTTGTATCATCTGCGTATTGCAGTTTGTTAACGAGTCTTCCTCCAATCATGATGGCATGTTTTTCTTCACAGAACCTTGGAGAATAGGAGCTCTTTAATTGCCCAAATCTGGAAGCAACCTTGATATCCTTATGAGTGGTGTTATTGGTAAGGTGCCATCGAGTCAGTTCTGACCCATAGTGACCCTGTATAGGGTTTCCGCGGAGCAGCTGGTGAGCTTGAACTGCCAACCTTGTGACTCAAGCCCACTTTGCAGTTCAGCGCATTAACCCACACCACCACACTGGGACTCCCCCTTACCGGTAAATGGGCAGATAAACTTTAATACATGTACTGTGGAGGAAACCCACTGCTGTTGAGTAGATTCTGGCTCATATTTTGGACATGTCAGCAAGGCCCAAAAGACCTCATGATCCGTGTAAGTACAGGAAGACCCCTACGAGACGGATTGACACACTGGTAGCTAGAATGGACTCAAGCATAAGAGTTGTGGGGATGGGACAGGGCCAGTGTTTCCTCCTGGCACACAGAGGGTACATAACAAGCCTCTTGCCACTCACTTCCCTCTCTCTTCTCTCTGCCAGTCAGCTGTCTCTCTCCATCCCCAGATTTCCCTCTTCTCCTCCTTCCTCTCAGTTCTGGATCCCGAGCCCTGTTTGCTGTCCTGATTCACTTTCTCTGTCACACTCTCTCCACTTCTTCTCTGCTTAAATCCAACACATTGTCATTAATTTGCTTCTGGTTCACATGCTACACAGTAGAACGGTTTCATAGGGCTTTCTTGGCTGTAGTTAGCCATTCCTTTCTTCCGCAAAATTGCAGGGTGAGCTCCAATCCCAACCTTTAGGTTAGCAGCCAATCCTAAACCACTTGTCTCAGCTTGTGGTGTTGCTATTGTGAGCCGTTTAGTCGGAATGGAGTTCAGTTTTGAAGCACATGACCCTTTCCCTGGTTCTCTCCACCCCAAAGTCTTTTGGAGACATAGGACCGGTTCCAGGATTTGGCACAAGTAGGTGGGCTGCAACCTGAGGTGCGCGAGCTCCAGTAACCCGGAGAGGAGATGCTCTATGGCTGAGCATGTCTCTTGCTCCTCCTGCCCGTAGGCGGCGCTGTGGAGCCGAGCGCTGTTCCACTCTCCGGGACCCGCCTAATCCCGGCGTGCACTGTGCAGCCCGGGCCGCGGGGTGGGGGGGCGTTGTGGGCGGCCAGGCCCGAGTTGGCGGCCCGGAAGCGCGAGTCCCTTAGGCGTGCAGGCATTCTGCCGGGCGGGAACGCAGAGACCATGGCTGAACCGGTTCCGGTAAGGGGGCCTGATGAGGACCGGGCGTGGAGACGCTCCTGGTCATGCGGGCCTTCCGAGGTCCAGCGGGACCAGGCCTCATGGAGGTGGTCCGGGGCTGACCCGCTAACGGGATAAAGTGTGCTTTGAGTATAGGAAAAAGATTCTGTTGTTAAGTGCCGTCTGGTCAATTCCGACTCATAGCAACCATAGCAAACTCATGGTTTCCGAGGAGCGCCTGGTGAATTTGAACCGCCCACCTTGCGGTCCAGGGCTTATCCTAGAGCAACACACCAGGACTCGATAAGAAGGGAATGTTGTTGCTTGGTGCCGTCGAGTCAATTCCGACCCATAGTAACCCTGTATAGAGTTTCTGAGGAGCGCCTGGTGCGCTTGAACCACCGACCTTGCAGTTCAAACGGCTTTGCAGTCAGGCACATTAACCCACAGCGCCACACCAGGACTCCCAAGAAGGGAGTAAAAACCCTAAAAAGTGCACACCTGGATGAATGGGGAAAGCGAGGCTTCGAGGGACATTGTAGCAGCAGATGGGGATGGGTTGGGGTCATTACAGGGTAAACTCAATTAGCTGGGAGATAATCGATGTGTGCATTCTATGTAATCGATATCGATAGTAAAAGAGTAGACTGTTCAATTTAAGTGTTGTAATAACTCAGTACCCATTTATTAAAAAGAAGAAGAATTCTAGGCCTTCCACGTACGACACATAGAAATAAGTTCCAGATGAAATAAAGATCTAGTACAGCAGTGAATGAATGCCCACTGCCGTCTCGTCCATTCGGCCTCATAGCCTCCGTTTTTAGGGTTTCTGAGCCCGTAAAGCTTTGTTGGTAGTACTGCCTGTAGGTTCCACCTCAATGACCTTATGCACAGCAGAACCACACACTGCCCGGTCCTGCCCCACCCTCACAATCCCAGCTACACGTGAGCCCATTGCTGCTGTCACTGCCAGCCCATCTCGTTGGGGTCTCCCTCTTCTGCTGACCCTCCACTTTACCAAGCATGATTTCCCGCCCCAGTGACTGGTCCCTCCTGATATGTCTGAAGTATGAGAGATGAAGGCTAGCCATCCTGGCTTCCAAGGAGCTTTCTGGCTGTACTTCTTCCAACACAGATTTGTTCTTTGGTGATCCATGGTACTTTTAATATTCTCTTCCAACACCATAACTCAAATGCACCAGTTCTTCTACCGTCTTCTTTATTCATTGTCCAATTTTCACATGCATTTGAGGCTATTGAAAATATCATGGCTTGAGTCAG